TCACCAGTGTCTCTATAGGCTCTTGATCCTAATCATCTCTATTTTCCTCCTCTTCCTCCTGACTACTACTCATGGGAGCCTCATTTTCACTGTCATCTGGTTCTTCTAGAACAACCTCCTCCTCAGACTCGTCTAGGACTGGAGACCGTAATGGCTCCATTCCCAGAGGTGAATCAAGCTTATTTAGAATAGCTTCTCGGTTCTGGTATTCTCCGGTCATTGGAGAGCGTATTGCCACTTTATTCACATAACATTGTGAATTTACAGGTAGTCTTGGGTGGGTAGGAGGTTCTGCATGTGCCAAAGGTCCAGAAATAAAACTAATAAATGTCATTTTATCTGAAATAATTAGACCTACTTGCATTAAAATAGTAAGGAAATATTAATACTTACTGATTTCTTACATTTGGACACAGTATCACAGTAGTTCGTGTGGGTTTGTAGATGTCTACAATTGCTTCACATCACTAATAAACTTGAAGTGACACCTGTTGATGTTAGCAGGTACCGACCATTGCACTACTATTCCACTTTCGGTGACAAGACATGCTAAGTGGTATTTAGCGCGAGGTCCTGAATACAGACGAAGGGATGGGCAAGAGGGAGTGGTGAAAATACCACTTGCACAAGACGACGTCAACTCTGACAAACCAGATAACAATAGCAGAACTCTACTTTAGTGGTCTGCTTACCAGGTCCATGGGAATGTTGTGAAAATACTACTCAGACAAGATGATATTAACATTAACAAGCAACATAAGAGCAGCCAAACACCAGTCTTGAATGCTGCCTTCAATGAGCACACAAGGGAGTGGTAAAAATACTAGACCGTGTGAGGACTCAGCGAGGCAACACCCTCAGCGAGGCGTGGCAAAGCTTGGCAAGACTTGGCATCAATGAAACTGAACATAATTTTTTCTTGTATACAAGACCACAGTTTCTTCCTTTCTCTTTTCCTATCAACTTACCCCACCCCACCATACCAACAGACACAATTGTCTTCGGAGAATTGATTTCTCTCAAAGGCACCAACAACAACGTAAGCAATTAGTCTACTGGCTCCGCAATGGGAGCAGGGGCTCCATCAGTCCCTGCTTCCTGTACCTCTTCCAACCTATCTTCAAGTTCTTGATGGTCAAAATCACTTTCTATTTCATCTCCTTGATGACCTGCAGACATCCTAGTTCCTTCAACATTCTGCGCCATTTCTTCCAGGTATTTTTTAAATTTCTTTACCTTTTGTTCCGCTTTGGTAATCTGTTTGACAAGGCAACCTTCTTTCTGCAGTAATTCTGCTCCTGTCTTCCGCCGCTTCAGTAATCTTCCCTCCTCTTCCAATCTTTCTGCATCCCTCCTCTTTCTTATGCATTCTGCTAACTTTTGTTTCCTAATTGAAATTTGATTTGTTGCGTTGTGGTACTTCCACTGTGCTGTTTCACGTTCCTCAGTGGATTGAGATTCGAAAAACTGGGCAATGTACTCACGATCTATCCATATTTTCCCCGTTGTCGGTATTCTCGAACGATTGGCTGTTCGTTTGTAGTGAGTTTCAGTTATCTGTTTTCGTAGGTTCTCGATCTGGTGATTCTTTTCATCGAGTTCTGTTAGTGCCCGGTTTGCACTTATAGCAATATTACTAACAACTCTTTTTAGTCTCCAATCAATCGGATCATTCATTGGCAGGGATTCAAGTGCAATCAACTCTTGTTGCTCGATTTCGGCTTTACTGAGAGATACTTTAAGATGGTTGATTTGTAGTGCAGACAATGTACTTAACAGCTGAGGATCAGGCAATATAGAATGGGTCTGAGATGTGGTTGAATTTGGTAAACTAAGATTGCTGTTAGGAGGTCTCAGTCGTGTAGCTTCGATTTTTGAAATTACAAGGCTTCTGTCAACTGGAAAAAGTCCTGTATTTCTGAATCCACTTAGAATGTTGTTAGAACTGAAGGCTTCTCATCGTGCTATCATTAGAAAATCATAGAAGTTTGCTTTCGAAACTCCATATTCCTATCTCTCAAATCGTCGAGTCAACTCTTTCTGGTACTGGTGTTTATATGGACTAAAGACACTAACATCTAGTGGCCGCAAGCGGTGTGTGGTATGCGGAGGGAGGCAGTATGGAATGATTTTTTGTGAGATGCAAAACTCAAGAAATTCCACATTAACATGACTATTATGTCCATCGAAAAGTAGAAGACAAAAGTCCCCTTCTGCCTTTTGTGCTGATATACTGTTATTGTTGAAATTTCGTCTAAGATATTCTTTTGCCATATTCCCGTCTGTCCATCTATTGTATGAACGTCCAAAAAGTATATCTTCAGGAACTCCTTTCATTTTTTTGAACCATTCAGCGATGAACTCTTCTGCTTTCAATATGATAGTTGGATTTAAAGCAGTTCCATCGGCACAGATTCCTTCAATCACAGTTACGAATTCTCGAATACCATCCACTTAATTGTAAGTATCATATATATACTATTATCCTTTATAGATAGAAAACTAACTTTGTGCCCGATACTTCAATTCACCATTCTCCCGTGGGTTTTTTATCACCTCTAAAACTCATTCAAACTGGCCCAAGCCCAGTAGGAATCCAACTTCATCAATATTGTATGTATTATGTCGCTGTATCTTATACTCGTGTACAATCGTTTTTAACTATATATATAAATAATTAATATTTAGTTTAAAAATATAAACATATAGTATACATAAACATGAATCACAGAAGAAGAAGAAAAATTAATCAATATGCAGTATATCTACATAGGAGGAAAGCTACCTCATCGAAGAAGTGATTCATTAATTGAATATCATTTCCCCTTAGATTCCATATGAAATCTAATTGCTTGCTAAACCTTGACTTTACCTCAGGGTGTCGTTTCTTGAATCCCTGTTCCCACCTCTTCCCAAGTACCTCATCTGGAATTCGTTTTCGTATGATGCCAGTTGCAATTTCCGGCAATTGCCAAATTGTTGGAGGAAATCCAAGTCGGCAGCAGAAGTAGCAGTGTTCAACAACTGCTATCTCCTCCTCTGGTGAGAGCTTTTGCCAGCGCTAGCCCTCCTCAACTCGATCCCTCCTTCCCTGCCGCCGATGCATTACAGTGGTTGCTGGAGCTCCTACCATCGCTGCCGCGATCATTAAACTTGGAGCTATTCCATTTGAAGCCATCTCAATGGCCATTTGCTCTCGAACTCGCCCCGGAATCTCACTATCTGTTGGTGACATGATAGCAGTAATTGGCAGACAACATTGTCAATTTCATGAGCCTTACTTAAGATTCGATGACACAATTCACTTTACTATTCTAGGATGCCAAGCTTTGCCGCGCCTCGCTGAGGGTGCCGCCTCGCTGAGCCCTCACACGGTCTACTCACACGAGACGAGGTCCCACATGAGACGACATCCACCTGACAAACGACATAACGACGGCGGAACACCACTCTCATACGCAGCTCATAATGGGCAGCAGAGGGTGGTGAAAACACTACTCGCATAAGATGATGTCAACCCCAACAAATCTGATAACAATGGCGGAACACCACTCTGGTAGGCTAGTTACCAAGGACATGAGAGTATGGTGAAAATACTAATTTACTTACACGAGACGACCTCGACCCGACAAACAAGATAACTATGACGGAACATCACTCTAGTAGGCTATTTACTAGCGGTATGAGAGTGTGGTGAAAATATACTCGAGTAATTGTTTGCACTTACCAGCAGGATTCTTAAGAGTAATACCAGCTTCCTGTTGGAGCAAGCTTGATATTGTCTGCCAGAATTGTCCTTTTTTTCGCTCTTGAAAATCTAGTTGATTTTCAACACAAAGTTTGACGAGTGTAAGCTTATGCTCATCGGCCAAATGGGCTCATTGATGGACAGGACCATGCTGCTCATTCTGGCTCGCTTGTGCAATGGAAAGTTCAGAATTTTGAGAACGGTCGGTCATTGTCTCTTGATAGTATTCTTATTGTATTTTCAAGCGTAAGTGTGATGAGGTACAATTTATCATCCCTTAGTGCTTATTAAGATATTTACCAAGCGAGCCTTAGGCTAGAACTGTGAAATCCCATTTTTTTTGAGTTCGCTTGTTGTCATGGTAAACACTCTTGTCACAGTAATAGCGATTCCTAACTTTGCCTTGCGAAATCCCTCTATTGTAAACTATGATATTCCTATGTTCACGGGGGATGAATCGTACTTAGGACGTATCTCCTCTGGCACCTTCATCCCTACAAACTCCTCCACTAACGACAGAAATGTTTCTTCAAACCTCAACATGCCCGTAACTACACCCTCCTATCTAATCCTCCCTTTATTTTTGGTTAAACGAAGAGCCGGTGCCGATTAGTCCCACATGATCTTATGGGGCCAGCAACGACCGGGCCAGCAGCGGTTCCCTTCTTATTTTAGACCTCCTACCGGTAGATCAATCAAACAAGGAGGGGTTCAACCACCGGATCAATAAAGTCGGAGAGAAGATGGATATCCATGGATGCAAGTCTGATAACCTCAGTTAGAAGCCCGATAACCCGGGGCAGGCTGTGGCCAACATTGGTCAGAAAACAGAGAATCTGGCTCAGAAGATTGAAAATACAATATCAAACTTGTGACAAAAATAAAACGGTCCTGGAGAATTGCCGTGAACGCAGCGATCGTCGCCATACAAGACCCGAAGAAAATCCGCGCGCGTAAGGGAGAGGCTTGATAATTTCTATGCACATGCGTGAAGGGAGAGTGAAGATCACGAATGGGTCAAGACGTCCTGATTGTCCTTTGTTTCCAATTGGTTGTGCTAGTTGAGGCAATTGAACTGGTAGTTGGCGATTGGAGAGCCAATGGGTCGATGTGGGGTGAGTGTATTGTTAGTGGTATCATACATAGAATGCTATACGGTAGCTAACAAGTTAAATACACCGTCTTCAAGTAACAGTTTACTAGTTCGTTCGTTCGTTCGTTCGTTCGTCTATCAAGTTCTCCTTACTTGCTTGTTTGCTCCACGAGATATATTTTAAATAAAGAAATAAAAGAGGCAAAACCACAAAGACAGACACCCCACGAAAAAAAAAAAAAAAAACACCCGTTATGCTTGTAACGATTCGTCGTCCCTTCCTTTCGTATCTTTCACTTTCTTTTTCGGTCAAGGGCATAAGAAAAGAAAGTCGACAAAAATCATAGCAAGAGCATTCGTACATGGTGAACGTCTACTCAAAGTTTAGGGATGTGTATCGACTTGGAGACCATTGCGCAACCGCTGGCGGCAAAAATCAAGACTGCAGGGTGGAACTCCAACAACCCGGCTCCGGCAGTGCCAAGAGGCAAGTTGCCCAAGTACCATCCCTTGTGCGCCCAGTATGCCATAGCCATGACGATGGAGAGGGTAGTAGGGATCGGTGTGCCCTCAAAGTACTTGGACTTTCCCGTAGCGTCTTTGGGGAGAGATTGAACCGTCACGTTGAAGCGCGCGAGACGCGAGAGGCCGCAGAGAACGAAAAGCGTGAGGATGATGGTATCCAGGAACGTACGAAAGCCGAGAGCGAAGGCACAAGAAGCCGGGGCCATGCCAAAGGAGATCTGGGCGCCCGTTAGCCAATTTGCGATACGGTACAAGTCGGGGGGGGGGGCATGAACCAAATCTGCGAGGGAATCAAGCTCCTGTCCCATCAAGGAGCTCTTCTTCCTCCAGCGAGCCACCTTCCCATCCATAAAGTCAAAGAAGAGTCCGAATGGCATGAAAGTCATGGCGAGCCAAAGTTGGGTGAGGTCGTCAGGGCTACCAAGACAGTATCGCAGTGATGAAAAGATACTCATCGCTCCGCAGAAACCTGTAGGGCATTGCACATCAGCTCATGGTTCGATTGTACTCGCTCTACAGGCTTTGAACGGACCGTTGAGCTCAGTGATGAGATCGGCCATATGGAGCGCCCTATAGCGGGTCTGTTAGTTTCGGGAAGCCAGACACCCCATCGAATTTGGCATCCCGTACCTGATCATGGAGAAATGTCGGTCATCGTCAGCGAGCGCAGATACCTTTGCTTGATCCTCTGTGAAGGGTAAAGCATTGTTAGTCAGATTCGAACCATATCAAACCATGCAACGGAGGCTCGAGCACGACCTGTAGGCAAACGTCGAGCTGGAGAAGAATATACCTGGTGAAACCAATGGCTTCTGCTCATTGGCGGCGGCCGTTCCGTTTCTTCGTGACATTGTTCGTGTCCCTTTTTTAGAGTGTGCTAATGGGAGATAAAAAGTTCAAACTCCGTATCTCAAGTGGGTATACAAAAACCAGGAGATCTTCCGGTAGGAAAAAAAGATTCAAGATAAGGTCTGAGTTTGATAGGGAAGATAGAGAGGGGGGGGACTAGAACGAAGAAAGGGTTGTTAAAGGATGTAGAAGCTTGGGCTTCGGAGAGGGGTGGTGGTGTTGAAGACTTGAAGTTGCGGTAGCGTTTTTCCTGGGAAATCTGGAAGCGGAGGCTGGGATCATGCCTATGCCAAGAGTTGCAAGGGCAGGGCAGAGGGAGAGTTGGTCAACGACGTCGTCGAAACTGTGACGTGCACCAAGGGGTGGAAAATGTACGGCAATAAAGTCAGGAATACCTACGGCAGTCTCTAACTCGTGCAAGGGAATGAGAAAGGAAACACTGTCCAATCTTTTATCAGTCTTACATCTGCGGTTAGGTTTTTCGTCAGGCACAGTACTGTACCGGTATCATATTACGGCGCGACAGCAGGAAGTGGGGCTCTACAACCACCAAGTATCATAATACAGTATGTATCATATCACACATATCCCGACTCTTGCCCCCCAATCATGCCATGGCTTCTCACCAGTGAATTGTTTCGCCGCTGACAAACTTCTGAATCCAGAATGCCAAAAGTGATGGATGTGTCTTCAATGGGCTCACCTTTCACGGGTTAGGGCTGTAAATTCCACATGCTCATAATATGACACTGTGTATGAATATGACACTCGAGTACGGTGGTCTATACTGGTACCTGTTTGGCTCCACCGTCAGGGCATAGAGAGTAGGGTACCGTACCGGTATATAATACTCGAGTACCAAGCTCGTGGTGAGCATTAAGCATTTGTGCTTTTGGTCCACCTACTCGAGTAGTGTCAGAGTAGTGTCAAAGTTCATCCGACAGGAAGGAGAGGGTCGGGAGTACTCGTACAGTGCCGATATTATGTTTAGACTACAAGTGCCTCTCTCTCTACTGTACTGTATCCTTATCCTCTACGGCAATTAATATATCCTGTTTCTTCATGTATCATACCGGTACGGCACGAGCAATGGAACGGATGGCCATCGATTGGGCGGAGGGTAAATTTACTCAAACATGGCACTGAGGGAATTTTAGACAAAGCGGGATGTGAGAGGGTCTTGGATGGAGATTAGGGGGGATCGCTTCATCGAGGCATCAGGGTGGTGTTTAAAAGGGTTAATTGGCGTATAGTCTACCAGTAATAAGTGAAGGTGATGATGATGGCGGTGATGATGAAATAGGATGAAGGGTACCGGTGGTCTATCATAAAGCATGTTTTGATAACCCATGATGTTTTCGGGGGCATGTGATGAGCCGGTAGATGCAGCATTTTCCCATGGTCTCCACGACAACAGGCCAGACGACAAAAAGTCACAAAGGTGACCCGACTTCCATATCCGGCTGAGGAGTTGTCGGGGCACGGGCCATGAAAGCCTGGCCAAAGTGACGTACCGGTAGAGGGCGAGAATGCTTGCTGGGCCACACACACACCTTTTCACTCTTGTCCCTTAAAGTAGTTGCACCCTCAGCGAGATTGCACCCACAGCGAGATTCCTTACTAATAAACTGCTAATTGCTGTGAGAAAGTTGCCCCTAAAGGAAAGAATCTCGCTGAGGGTGCAACCGCTTTATTTGCCCTTTTCTTTTATGATACTGGTATCATAGTCTACCGGTATTACGGTACCCTACCGTACTTGTGCACTCCACATCATACTTGTATGACAGAGTACGGTACTTGCATTATGAGTGGCACTCAAATTCAATTTGATAATATGATACTTGTACCCCTCTTGGGGAGTATCTATGCTACCCTCTGTGGAAGGACCGTTTATACCGGCTATCCTAAGGCAGCGGGACCATACCTGTGGAATACGGTAATTTACCGGTACTGTACTCGAGTAGCAGAGCCTTCCTACCATCTACCTGGTCTGCCAGCACTCGAGCAGAAAATCGCCATTTGCTTCCATACTAGTAGTGAAAAGCCAAAAATTCAGAATAAAGGGGAAAAGGAAGAAAGTACTGTACTTGTACTCGTACATCCATTCCCTATTTACGTTTACTCGAGTACAGTGATACCGGTTGCGGGATCATCCAGGGGTCTTTTTCTCCCTGTCTTTCCCCACCCCTCTTGGTCTCACGACACCTCCCCCCCCCCCCCCACACACATTTGATCCCGTTGCTAGCTGCAGCTTAGATCCTGGATTGCCCATACTTCTCCCCCCTCCCCCACGGTTACTCTTCCAATCCTCCTTCCTTCCTTCCTTCCCCTTTCCCTGCATTATCCCTCTTCTTTCAGACCCTTTCTACACGCCGACGTCTATCCTTTAATACCCTAGTTGCATCTTTTTTTCCTTACCATCGTCCTCTTCTACCCAAACTCCACCGACGTCAATCACCGCTAGGCATTATCACTTGATGTCTGCTCCGACCTCTACCCTCCCGGCAGAGGTGGCCCCTAATCACCATTCTACGCTGGGAGAGAAAGATTCCGTGAGACCGCGAAGTGGCAGTCATTCCTCCACTTGGTCATATGACGAAAAGGTGAGAGACCATCTTCTTTTCTCCATTGCCCGAAATTTTTGCTCACTAGTGAAACGAAAGCACCCCGTCCATTCGACCCTGGATGATGATGAGGAAGATTTCCTTCCAGTTGGAGCCGAAGTATCCCCCGCGGTGGAGAGACGTATGTCCGCCAAGCATGACTATTCCCGTGAGCATGAGCCCCGCGACCGGAGATATAGTGGCACTTCAGCCCACAGGGGTCCTCCATCCCGCAAGCCTACCGCGAGCTACGGGTACGACCCCGTAACCGGCCAGCCGGATACTGGGATGGGCTCACCTTCGCAACAACTCGCGAACATCGATTGGGCGCACGTACTCGCGGCCTCTGAAAATAAGCATGCCGCCCCCGCCGCCACCACCTCGCCGACTCACTCGAGAAAGACTCCCTCCCGAAAGCCTACAGCCAGCTATGGCATTGACCCCGTCATGGGACATCCAGAGCACGGCCACCACCACCATCCTTACCCTATTTCTGAGAATCAGCCCATTAGGACAGAGGTCAGTTCTTCCGCTGCAGATCCTGGTAGCCAGCTCACCGCTGAGGGACCGGGAATTATTAGAACTGAATCTGGCGTCACGATGACCAATCTCCGCATCTCCTGCGAGTATCCTAAGCCCACTTAGATTTTGCGCCTAACTTGGTGCTTTTTTCTTTTTACTTAATATTTGGTTCTCTCACGTCACGCCAGATCCCTTTTTTTGACACTTTTTTACTTTTCACTTTGCCATTTTCCCTATTTTCCTATGTAACAAGAATTCACGCTGTCTCATAACGTGTAGGCATTGGTTGGGACGAAGTGGCAGCACCGATAAACTGTTTTGGGCTTTCATCTGATTATTCACTTTCGGAACACTTGCTCTTCCGAGTGGTATATTACCTCGAATTAACATTGATGTCGGTGGTCACGCACAAGAAGCCGGAGATCGAAGAGAAGGAGAGAGAGTGTTCCTTGTTTAACTTCTTTGGGTGTAGATGCGTCTGTGACTGCCCTACTTGCAACAGTCGGCGGCGTCTATATATATCAATTGGTCTTGTCATTTCCTAGATCCTGATGCCCTAGGTAGTATGGCAGGTGGTCGGACAAATTTGCACTTTCCATCACACCGAAGTCATACAGTAAATTTACTTCCGACTGCTTGATTTCGGATATAAACGAGTGATATACTATGAGCCATAAACCATAAGTCGTACCCATACCCTATCCGCGTCAGAAAGCGACCGTGAACCCGAGCAATGATATCGCATTCCAGATCGAATACCCCAACTCGTATGGGTACCCCAATAAACCGTAACAGGGGAAATGATGTTATATTATGCTGATAGATACCCGGTCTCGTCAGTGAGGTTTTGTTTACGCCATAGCTCACGCTGCATGCGAGTTCTTGTGCCTTAACAATGAATACATGTTAAAAAAATAAAAAAATAAAAAAATCCCGATCTCGTCAGTCCATTGGATAGGGAAGGAGGCCGTGGAGGACCTCCGACGCCTATTCGCTTCTGAACTGGTTCCTCATGTTATCATACTTACTCCCGGGGTACGTAAGAATGTTGTTGGTAGTCTCCAACGACCCCGTACCACCGAACCGGTCCACGGTAGTCTTGATCAAAGACCGCGGGTCCCCAATCGGCTTATCAGAGCTTAACTCCCACCACATGCCACCGCCCAAGCCCTTCTCCAGGATATATGAGCTCTTGGTCTGCGCAATGGTGGGTGTGTCGTAAGAAATCATCTCCCGGGCGGCAGAGTCATAACTCCACGAGGCAACGGTACTGTTGTCAGCGCACTCGGCCGCGCCGGCTTTCGGCAGGGCCTTATAATCCCACACGCCATTCTCCCAGCTCCCGTTGCCGATGCCGGTGAAGGAGGCTCCGGGCCCCGTGGTGGCCTGGAAGGAGCGGCCGTAGAGGGGCATGCCCAAGACTATCTTGTTGCACGGGACGCCGCCGGCGATGTAGGCGTTCACGGCGTCATTGGCACTGAAGGGCGTGCTTTCTGGGTTGGAGGCTGAGTGGTAGAGGTTTGCTTGGTGGCCAGCTGTGGAATCCCAGCTCCCAGCGAAGTCGTAGGCCATTAAGTTCCAGAAGTCGAGGTATTGGTTCATTTGGCTGATTAGGAGTTTGGTGTAGTGGGTTGCTGTGAAGGTATCGTAGTTAGTCCGGGGGCCGGGGGGGAGGGTGGGGGGGGTACTTACCGCCGCAAGGAGCAGCAATAGTCAAAAGCAACTTCTGGCCTGGCGCATACTGGTTCCCGTAAGCGTCGAGTTGTGTACGGCACTCTGCCAATAGAGAAACAAAATTCTGAGCCTGGGTGGCATCTAGAATATCGAAATATCAGCTTTAACCCCGCTACTCTCAAGATACTCTAATCGTATCGTACCAGCAGGGTATTCCCTATCAACCCAATTAGTCAATGCCCCATAGAAAACATCAGACGAAAGGGCATACCAATCAATATCGATACCATCAAATCCCAGGTCCCTGACGAGTTGAACGGCAGTCCTGGCGAATGTACACCTGCCAGCAGCCGTAGCTGCTGCCGGCGCAAAGTTGGCGGAGTATGTCCACCCTCCGATGGAGAGGAGGGTCTTGAGCTTGCGGTTGCACTTCTTCAGAAGGAAGAGCTGCTTGACGCAGCCGTAGACGTTTGTGCCAACGTCGTTCCAGGAGTCGGTGGGGTAGTGCTTTTCTGCTTGATTGTTAGCCTTCTATCTGGATGGATGTGGCCGGTTTATTGAGTGCCTACCAAGATCGGAGTACGGGTCGCTCAAGTAGCTGCGGGAGTGTTTGGTTAGATTGGAGTGTTTGGCGTGTAGGGTGCTGGAGGAGGGGGAGAGGGCTTACACTTCACCAGATTCAGGGCGGACATTGGCAAAGGAGTCTGGTGTAGCATTAGCCTATCCGTTCCGTGCTTAGCTACGCCATGTTGCAGCAGCTCTCGGTAGGATGTATTATTCGCAAACTTACACAAGATGTGGGTCAAATGAGAAGCTGGGATGTCTTGGGGTTGGTAGTTGCGGCCGTAAATGCCCTGTTTGTGAGACCGGGTGAATCAACAATGAAGTTCATTGCATCAAGGTAATGGTAATGGTAATTGAATATCACGAACCCAGTTGACAAAGTAAGCAACCGTCTTCTTTCCAAACATTGTAGCGCGGGGGGTTTCTGTGCGGGTTGCCGTACAGTCGTCGAGGTATGAGGATATTATGTCGTTAAACGCGGGGCGCAGGGGTTCGTAAATTCTTGGGGCTAGTACAACTGATATAACAAGCAGAGCTGAGATGATGAAGATTCGAGTTGTGGTGAGTTGGAAGGTCATGAGGAGGGACTCCCAAATAGTTTTATACTTGTAATCCTGGGGTCTCTTTTTCTTTCCCACCAAAACGTGCTAATTTTGTGGGGCATGGTAGGCGATGATGTTCCGTTTGTCCCCTTCCCCACTCCACCCCATTGCCAGTGCTATTTCGTTTCTAATGCCGGTACAGTATTCGCACGCCTTCCGCCCAGGAAATCCCGTCTGTGTTCTCTTTTTTTTTTTCTTTTTCCTTTCCTTGCTTTAGCCCTTTAGGTGGTGCAGCCGGTTGGGGGGATTTATGATCCAAGGGAGTTCTTGGTAGGGTTGGCAGGATGGTCAGCTCAGTCTATCCACGCAACTGCACTTCACTCAAATATCACCGCCACGGTAGCCGAGCTCTATTCAGTGAGAGAGTACCGTATTCCTCCGCCAGTCCGTCCAAGATACCTGGGATGGCGATATCATCTTTTCTGTGTCAGATTTCAAAGATTGGGCTACTAACATTTAGGGTGCTACGGCATAAGGCCGTCTTTCTACATCAATCTTGTAAGTCAAGATTTTATGACTTTATCTTAAAATAAGATTTAAGGCTGATCTTGATTACCTAGTGGATAGGTGTGTAGGGGGTGTTGGGTTTGCATTCTGTGGCGAGGGGGCTTGGAGGAGTTTGGTGGAAGTTTGGGGATATCGGTTGCATTTCTTTTCTCTTTTCACTTGCACTGGTGTACTGTACTACTCCTAGTATATCAAAATTCTTCCAAGTTATGGTTCGTGCAGTCCAAAAGGTGCACCAGAATTTCCCTTGTTTTCAAATCATTATATCTCCTTATCAACATCAAATATAAAGTCGAAAAAACTACTATCTTATAGATCAACTTAAGGAAAATCTTGTAGTAGTTTTTTTAAAGCAATAGGAGTTGTTTGAAAAGTGGTATAATTGTTTAAAATCCTTGATTTTGTATGATACTTACAAATATCTCCCATGATGCTATGTAACAAGGAGGTTTTAGCATCAGTGAATACAGGACTAAGACTATACTCAGATAGATATTACAACAGATTGTGATGTAGACATTGGTCTAAGAACTATTACAAGTAGACAAAGAAAAGTACAAGATCATTACCTGTTGAAGTACTAACTCTCCCAAGGAGTAGGATTGCTACAAAGTCTTTTACCCTCCGAAGGTCGAAACAACTGGCCCCTTAACGAGTTCTTTTTCTTTGGCATCATAGTAAGTCATTCTTTCATAACATAATTAGGTGCTGACTGAGTGGAGTACTGGTACCTTGTTTTTTTTAACTTGTTTCACGGCACCGTTGCCATAGACCTTTACTGAATAAATAAATAGAGGCTACGGTACGGTACGTGCATGGCATAATATTATACGAGTTAATATGATAGAGCGATTCTTTCCCTTCGTCCCCTTCATCTCCTCGCCTCCACATCCCCACACCTCCCCTTTTAGTCCTCCCTTCCTTCACACATCAAGGTCCAATGTAAAAAAAGAAAAAAAAAGAAAAACCAAGGTATCAGTCCCTCATCTACCAGCGGCGAGGTTCCAGTATTAACACGAAGGTATGAAAAAAAAAGAAACGGACACACACACACAAGGAGACACATAGAGAGTGTGGAAGAGAGAGAGAATGAAGGATCCCCAAAAGTGAAAATGTACAAATGTTAATTTTTTGGCAATGCTGGAGAGTGATGTGAGAAATAAGAAAGAAAGAAAAAATTTCCCGATTACGATACCCCTCCCAACTTCCACCCAGGATCCTCCCCCGTCTTATTCTACTTCCTCCGATACTGTCCTAACTTCGCCTTGCAAGTCTAGTGCCAAACCGACCAAATCGCCGACCGGCCGATCCGTCCGGACAATATGAGAAGATGCTCTAGTATGAGAAAGAAGAAATAAAGGTAATACAAGGAAATAACGACATCAAGTAGAAGCAGGAACCAAAGACAGAGGGGAACATAGAAAAACCGACGATACAAAGAAAGGAGAATGCTAAGAGAATAAAAGAAAAAATGGAACGGAAGAAGCAAAGTAAATAAAAGAGTTTTGGCACGATCAGCTACTTTGTCCCTTTAACCTCCGGCCTCCTCAATGCTCCCCAATCACACCTAATCCCGTCACCCAAACAAAAGGAGGGGAAACCGCATTGATTTGAATGCCTCCGATCATACCCACCAGTTTGCGGATGCCCATGACAACCTTCGAAAACGTTATATAACGCGGAAATTGATATTGACAGGCAACCGAGAAGATGAATATAAAGCAAAAGGCAATGGGACTAAAGAAAAGGTACAAAGGAAAGAGCAGACCATTCCGTGTCTCTCAAGACTTGAGGACCACGACTCCAATTATCATTGCCGTTAAAGAACTTTTACCTGTCGTCTGGGTTTGTGACCTGTACACAAATTCGTCAGAAAAGCAATTGGCAAAACCTATAGGTAGGGTTCCAACCTTCAGAATTCTCCTCGAATAGTCCTGATTATCCGCAATGCTTCCAACACTGTCTCTCCTCTGGATCATAACAGGGTCGAGTCGGTGGTCCTGTTGAGGTTTCTTCGCAAACTCCCTAGCTGCTACTGACCTCTTGTACTCCTCCTCGACTTGCTGTCTCTTTCTCCGTCTGATGAAAAAGAAAAGTCCCAGCCCAACCGCCAACACCGCCAACACACCCACAACTACCCCAGCAGCAACGCTAGCTTTGTCGACAGATTTTTTAGGCTCTGGAGGTGGGGATGGTGGGAATTCGCTCTTATCCGAGGTGGGAGTAGCTGTGGGGTGGGAAGTGGTAGATCCACCTTGACCGAGGATTAGCAAGGATGCTCGCCATCATAGATATAAATTGACACATACCTCCTGCTGTTGAAGTAGGCGAACTTGATGACGAGGACGAAACAGGATCTTGATCAGGGTTCTCCTCCAATCCAGACAAATAAACCGAGAAATAGTCACCCAAGCGAGTACCACCTATATAACGCGTCAGTTGGATTAAATATTCGAAGGTTTGTTAGATTAAAATCAAAGGGAAAGGAAGAAAAGAAAAGAAAAGCAGAAGAGAGAGAAAAGTATAAAGAGGCCCTTACAAGTTTCCTGCTCAAAACCAGGGCATCCTTGTTTGCACTTGCTATCGTCCACCTTGTATGCATCGTTTGGAAGAAAGTTTCCACACAAACACAATGTACGGTTGGTCATTGCCTGTACCGAATAGCCCGGCGGCTTAACGCAAGTTTCCCTACATTTTCCTCGCGACTGAAAATCATCATCCCCCTTCGTCTGGAGGGAGCCACTGCTGTTGTAACACCCGTGGTAGATAGCATCACCTGTGGCAGCGGACAAATGAACATATCCTGCCAAAGCAGTCAACAAGATCGCAGATATCTGCTTCATCGTGTGATTTAGGGTTGGTGTTGAAACAAAGTTGCTCAGGGGCGATGAGCGGCCACCCGTGGTGGTGTGATATTCAGGCAACGAATGTGCGAAGCTGTGCTGATAGAGTGGACACGGTCGGATCAGTAAGGTATACAAAGCAGAACGGTCAAAGGGATGAGACAACTCAATGACGGACGTGATGTTTGTTGGAGCTAGTGGTGCTGGTGGTGGTGGTGGTGAGAAGCCACCAGCGTCGGAACAGGAGTCAAGGGAAGGACGGAGTTAAAAGGGGAAGAATAAATGATTACACACCTTTCAAAGACAGGACTCGTTCACTCGTGAGATGCCGGTTGCGCAGTGGGAGGGCAGCTCAATGCAGGAACAGTGTGTTGTTGACCAGTGTGACTAGGGGGACGGCAGAAAAGGGAGGTGCAAATGAGGGCAAGGGCGCGCGGCGGGAGTAGGGCCCGAGGAAAGATTACTTCGCTTTGCCCGGTGTGAAGGGATTGAGGGAGGAAAGAGAAAGAAAAAAAAATTAATATTATATGAGAATCTGATTTAAGAGAGGCAGAGAAAGACCGACTTTGAATTTGCTAGGGTTTGACCGTGGGGAAGGGGGGGATGGGGGTTGAAGGTTGAGGAAAAGAGAGATTAGAGGGAGTGCGAAGAAAGGGAAAGGGAAGTACGAGTGCTCGTACTGTAGGCTGTAGCAGCAGCAGCTCGGTGCCTTTTCCTATCCGAATCACCGAAACGGACAGGAGTCGAGAAACAACACGGGCAGCAAACGAATGGCTGGTGTGCAACGACAACCACGGAGGAATAGGAGGAAGGGAGGAGGATTGCCGGCAATGGATTCCTCACAAGGCGCGACAATAGTAACGAAGGCGGTTGAGGGTTTAGCAACGAGTGTGAGGGAACTCCTGAAGAGTTCACAAGCAATAGAAAAACTTGTCGATGGTGTTCATGACGATAAGCTTTTCCCTTTTGCCTCGATCTTTTTTTCCCGCCCTTTTTACTTTCTTTCTCTCTCTCTCCGATTTTTTGATTGGGTATGTGTGGTGCAGATGGGAGGCGAGGGGTTTTTTGGGAAGGATTTTTTAGCGAGAAAGGCACAGTATCCAGAAAATGAAAATGGGTTAACTTAGAGGATTGGAATGACTATCAACGAATGATTCCCTCACTGCAAGAAAAGGGAAAAGAGGATGAGCGAATTGCGAATGGGTTCTACGGCGTGGCTGTGCGGAAGAGGGCCAAGTTGGTGTTCTTCCGTTGGCTGCTCAGAGGATCGCGGCAAACACAGGCGGACAGCGGCGGCGGTGTAACGCCGCTGCCAGTGCCCAATCCCTGTATGATACTTGTATTACCGGTATCAGATTCTCTCATTCCTCCTTCTGATCTGGCGGGCCAGCTGCTCGAATACCCTACCTATCGCAAAGTACCGGTACCGTGCGAGGTCAATGTCATGATGAGAATTCATATCAACACTGGTACCGGTATGCGGACAACCCCCCCCCACTACCCTATCCTTCCGATCCGCCGATAACGAGCAATCGCCCAGTTCAAGTATTATCACTTCCCCAACCCCTCCCCCTGTTTCCCAGTCTTCAAAAAGCCTGGAGAAGTATGATACTGGTATCGTACTTGCACTCGCTTGCTCCCACAGCAACAACATGTACCACTCGAGCCCTGGTGGTAGTACTGGTACTCGTACACCCCGCACGACAAATGCAAACCGAAAATTAAGGTACCGGTACTTGAGCACAGAGCAAGCCACACCTTAGCCCAGCCAGCCAGCTGTCAACACCCCCACCTCCTTTTGTTATTGTTGCTTACTCCCGAGAAATAGGTCTTATTACTTGTATATTATTACGACAGTACAGTACAGTACCATGCTCGATCACTGCTGTTGCCCGTTGGTGTTCCCACCACCGTTCAATCAAAAATATCGTAATATTATCATCCCGTACCCGCACCCTATCCCTACATTCCCCCTTCTTCTTCTCCTTTCTTCTTCTCCTTCCTCTTCATCTGAACGTTGGTAACGCATGATAACTCCTCCTTCCTCACAGGAATAGACATGCTGGTAGACTTCTCTCACCCCCCCCCCATCTCCACCATCCGAGATTAACTTTCCAGCTTGACTGCTCCGGGAGGGGGGCTGTACCAGTAATTGTCGGATTTATTGACACAGATTGAAACAGTTGTCCGAATTCTGCAACGGTGGGCAGACAGGGGCTGGCCCACTTGTACTCGAGTACCTCCCACTTAACCTGCCTATATGGTACGAGTACTGTACGAGTACAGGTACTCTCCAGCGCCACATCCACACATCCCAACTTTTTTTCTTCTTCTTTCCTTCCCTTCTCTTCCTGTCCCTTCTAAGGGTTGCATATCGCACAATTTTACGATCTCTGGACTTGATTCGTGCTGTATGCTCTTCGAGGGTGTCAGACATGCCCCATTGAATGCCTTTTGGCTTGTCATCGGGAATGGATCAGCTGCAGGTTAAGTACTTTACAGAACAGCCCTCCAATAATTCACCTAAAATAGAAATGACCTCGTGTTTCCGCTTCGGTATCTCGCGTTCCTCTCTTTCCTCGAGTAAGGACGCGTTTGTCGAAATTATCCCTGACATTCCCTTTTTTTGTGTCGCATTACAGTAATATCTGTCCGTGCACCATTTCACCACCACCTGCTTTCGGACGAATAATTGTCACAGAGCTACCCCAACTCAACGACTTGATATCAGAGGGAAAGGAAAAAAAATAAAAAAATACCGATATATATATACAGATACAGTTCGCTAAGGTTGGAAAATAGGATGGAAAATATAGATAAAAAATATATGGATACTAAGATTGATAAGAAGGATGAGCCCCCCTCCCCCCATAAAATTATATAATATGGTAGAAGGAAAGGAAAGGGAATACGGTGGAGACGAAAACCACCGTCCATATCCGAAACATGGTTTTTGAAGCAACCGCAGAACCGAAACACCAGCGTGAAAAATGAGACCCCGCAAAAGCACCATGACTAGCCCTCTCCCTCTCCTAAGACACTAGCTCGCCCCCCAGCTCCATACCCAACCCAGCGGTATGGCGACTGTTACCAGCCGGCACCGAAGGGGACCCTGTGGGGGGATGAAGTTGATCGAAATTCAGCCTCTTGCGAGCATTTGCGATAGGAGTTCCTCTCCCAGCACCGACGGAGCCCCAAGCGCCCTGAGCTGGGGAAGGTGTGATATTGACAAAATCAGCAAAGTTAAAGCCGGTTTGTGGGGTTTGAGGGGCTCCCGGGGTACCCATAACAGATGACGGGAGAGCTGATGAATTTGATGGAGGTGTGGTTGGTGTGAACTTTGCTTTTGGCATTACTCCAGCTGGGGAGGGGGATGTTGCAAGATATATCAAGAGATCAGCGCCACGATCACCCGCTGGTTTGTTCGCATTCCCTGGTTTGGCTATGCGCCTTGGTGGGGTGCGAGGGGGACTTGAGTGGAAGCCATGTTCGAGGCCATCCTTACCCTCCCCTGTCCCATATCGATACCCTGGAGACGACTGCACGGTGCGGTTCTGATCCCTCCATGACTGGCGACGTTTGGATGATGGTTGTTGGAACTCGGCGGATGAGGATGTCCGTACACGTTTTCTAGAGTTGCGAAAATTCGGAAGGGGGCCGATACCAGACGATTGGCTGCCTCGCCGTTTTTGTTGCACGTTTGCCTTATTTTTCCGTAACCATTCGAGATCCCCTTCGCTGAAAAATGAGGTCCCTGGTGACGGTGATTTTTCCTGTGACCCTCTCTGACGTTTCCTTCGTAGGTCTTCTTCGACCTTAGGTTCGATAGTATCTAGGGTTAAGTTTTCCCATCCATTCTTCGTCTTGAAGTTTGCGAGCGCAAGTCGATGTTGAAGAAGCCTTGCGATCTAGACCAGAAGCATTAGCAAAGTCCAAAATAGGCACCACACCGATTTCTCGAGTGCGGGGAAATGGGGGAGAAATCACCCTTGACACCTCCGCACGCCGAATGACTTTTCTAATAACTTCTTTGGTTTGTTTCTCAGTCCAAGGTTTAGGTGCTGGTAAGGAAGACATGTTCCAAGCCGGGCCAAGAGAAAATAGATATAGATACAATTATTGTTGAAAAGGAGCGGCGATTGTAGGAGAATGGGTTTACGAGAGTGACAAACGCTGCCGCTGTTGGATAGGTGATGAGGAATGTAGAAGGGAGAAAAACCTTGTTAAGGGGACCGGGGCGGGAATTCACACAGATGGAGAGATGTTAAGTTTGACACCGAACTCCTGTTGCTTGCCGCAAGAACGAAAACACAAAACGCAAAGAAAAGAATTGGAAGGGTGAAGGAAGGGGGAACAGTGAAAGAAAGAATTAATCTAGGTAGTCTCTCTTTGAATTACCTTTTCCTTGTAGAAATCTCCTCCCGGGTGATTATTTCTTTCCTCTCCTTTTTTTTCCCCTTCTCTCTCTCTTTCCCTCTCCCTGTGTTTTTTCTTCTCTCCAACCGGACTTTTTTGTACGGGGTTTTTGGGGTTTGATCCCACGGGAAGAGCTGAGAACACTCAAAACGCCCTTGGGGCCAGAGCGATGATTGGGCAGCGATTGATTTTCGGGGAGTATGGTGGAGGCAAAGGGTCAGCAGAGCTTACAAAGCCAGGTGAGCGAAGTGCCGCAATTAAGAGAGGCAGAAGGGATAGATGGGCGTAGATATGGCGAGGGAGAGCTTTTGTCTCTCTTATGGCACTTTAGAGGGAGACTGGTGCAGTGCTGCACAAGGACCAAACAGCCAAGGAAGCATCCGAAGGGGCAGGAGGGTGTGTGTTTTCACACCAACGAAAGAGGCTCAAATTTATTTAGTTTTCTGTGTTTACCTTATTTTTGCTTTGTTTATTTCCTATTCTCGATTAAACGAGCCCGTTTTAGGATGAAGAGCAAGGGGAGGGGGGGACCAAAGAAGCATTGGCCGCGGGAAGATGACGTACTGCACATGAATGTTATGCTTGGAGGCTCCAAGGCAGTCGGAAAGCTCTAATTCGCAGATTGAAAGAGAGATTTCCGTCTTGTTGGGCCGCTTTTTCGATGGCAGTGCCGAAGTAGGGTAGTCTACAGGATTTACTCGGGTGCAGTACCAGTACCAGTAGACTACGGACGGTGACGGCAGAGAAGCGATCAAGATCAGATGAAGAGGACCTCTCCAACCTCGTAAACATGATCTGGGTCTAACATCGGTGAAGACATCAATGCTACCGCAGTAGCAACACCGTGAGGTCTCACCGGTGATAAATGATGGTTCTTTCTGAAGTTTTCACCTATGCATAACATATGTACTCGAGCACGGTACTCGAGTAGAGCCTTGAAACCTCTAATCCGTGTCGTCCAATGGTACTCTAGTAGTCCAACGGGTGCACCACCGCCGCCGCCCTTGAGCTAGACTATCGTACTCGAGTACGAGTACTATCCCCAACGACCCGGGTACGTTGGCTTTTTTCTCTTCCCAGCCCCGGGACTGGCTAAGCTGTTATGATATGAGATTAGGATAGCGAGCATCTGAGATCGGGGGGGGGGGGGGGCCCCAAATACAAACCGGTAAATCACCGAGGGGTAGCGCACCTGGGACGCCCCCTATGAAATGAAAGGTAAACCCCCTCCCTGGTATATACGGGACAATTTCAAAAAATCCTAAATACCGGGCCGTCATAAGCTCTGTTCCTCTCCCTAATAGGGAGACCCCCCAATCACCATTAGCATTCTCGGGGCTTTTTTACTAGTGCTTGTCCACTTGTTCCTCTAGCTCTCCGGTATACAAGCATCCACAATTGCTATACTGTATCTTAATTTGTATCCACTTACTGCCCTGTCTCTGATTTCCTGGCTACTCTACCGGTATGCCACTGTAGGTTTCAGTACCGGTGTTTGCCATCTTCACCAAGCAGTCGGAATTGCCACCGGCTCCCTTGTTCATCAATTTCTATGATGCTTCTACTCTTTTCTCATTCTATCTCCCCTCTTCCTCCTCCTCTCATGAATGCGTGCATTCCTCCCCCATCCCTCCTGCTTTTCTTCCTCATTTCCCCCACCCTTCTCCTTCTCCTGCTCCTCTACCCCGCCCCCGCTCCCGCCCCATCCTCCTGTCCCTGGTTCTACTCCTCCTTCCTCCTTTGCGAACTCTCTTTTTGGCTGCTTTTGCAGCTGCTCGCGTGTTTTTCCTATTGTCGTGTTAATTACGCCTCTCGCTTCTTGAATTTCCCCATACACACTCTCTAGCTGTCTCACCATTAGCGTGCTTTGTCCAATTACACACCGGTAGCCTCGCCAGCCTGCCCCATAGTTTATAGTCAATAACCGTTCATACCTTCCCAGACCGAATCTCCATCTGCACATACTCGCCTCTCGTCCGAAATGAAGCTCCCCAATTTGCGAAAGTCTCGTACGAGTTTTTTTGGCAAAACCGGAGTGCCCTCGCCTTCTATCAAAACGGATTCTACAACCTCCATCACCGAAACCCCTGAAACTTCCTTGAACTCTCCGAACGACAAATCCAAATCTAGTAGCTCTGTGTCAGCTACTCGTCCCTTGAGGCCAACTTCCGAAATATACACTTCTAGCTCTGGCAAGGCAGATCCAAATGTGTGTACTCCGAATTGTTTGAGAAGTACTCAGGGAAACACCACTAACACTTGTTAAAAGGGAAGTCCTCCCAATCCAGTTGTCAGATCATCTTCAGTGCCCCTATCACCTTTTGCTCCTCGGCTTATCTCTGCTCAAGAAGGACAATGGTTTCATCAGAGTGTAATTCTGGTGTTTGGGGAGGTTGGGGTGGCTGAGCACCCAATTGATGGAACCATTACTGTTCATCACCACCTAGAGGGGTATCCGGCGACTCAATGGCCGGTTAGAAGCGGTCACTTCAAGGTTCTTGTGCATCTTGATCCGGGAATGAACCGACTTCGCTTTGATTTCTCTGCCTCCAAGATTCCACCAACCAGTTCCGGCTTGGCTGTTAATTTCCTGCCCTTGACGTCTTGCCCACCACTTCATCTCGCTATACTGCTTGCAAAGGATTCTCCGGGAGAGTTCGAGTGTCATGGTGATCTAAAACTACGTGGGGGGAATGATGTACGGATGGCAAAGAAGAAGCTTCGAATGGCAGCGTATGAGATCACATCACCCGTAAAACTAGTCGGTTTTCTAATAAGTACAAAGTTATCTTGCGCAGCTTTTCACTGGTGAGCAAATGTTCAGGCATAGATTGGGTAACGATATTTTCCCCTTTTGTTTGTTCGGTGGTTGGCTTTCTAACACCGGCCTTAGGCCGACGGTGTTTTCGGCTTGAGGAGGAGTGGGTAGCAGATTCCTTGTCTAGTAGAGATGACGGAGTGATGAGGAGTGTTGCAAAGGTCCACATCTTACGTACTCAGAAAACGGTCGGGGGTAATAATTCTTGGCTCTGTTGGCCCATGTATTCGTTGCTTACTTATCAAAGATATTCAACGACGAGAGGCCTCTCGGGACGTTCGAGGGATCTGGGATATTGCCTCCGAGGCGGTAGAGGATTATTTTGGAGAAATCGCACCCGTGACGAAGCGTCATGTTGCTGTACTAATTCTTGATGCCAAGGGGGATTTGAGATTTGGGGATCTTATGAATCGTTCCGCGTTCAGTAATGGCATGGGACTCTGTGGTAGCCGCTCGTTATACGCCCTTCCGTCGTGCTTGGAAGAAGTGGTTTCGGCAGTATGGCTCTGTTCTGGGGCCCATTGGTTTTATCCGGAACTGACGGAGTTTATAGTTTAGCGACTGTTCTCGCCCTGGTGATGCGATTGAAAATAGCGATTCCTCTGAGTCTGGAAGCTCTTGGTGGGTCGTTCCCAGTATCATGTTTTGTCGCGTCGCGACATTGCATCGGGCTTATGAGTGAGAAATTAGGGAAATTGCTACATCTGTAATGAAAAACATGGTAGAGGCTTTCATCAGTCCCCAGCCACCGACCCAGCCCCGTGATCTTCAGCATATTAATAGGACTTTTTTGATGAAGGTTTGACCCCCCATTTGAAACAAGCCTGCTATTTCTTATGAAAATTGACTGGGGCCGTAGGAGCCGTATTCTTTTCGAACAAAATCCCCCGGGCTGAGGTATGTATTTTCTAGATCAACGGCTATGTGAATTATCACTGATGTATTTCGAGGTTTTGTGTTCCCAAAAACGAGTCTAATTGGCCCAGGTATGGTTATTTCTACTCGCGGCATGGTGTCTGAAAGCTGATGATGTTACTCGAGCACAAAGGGTCGATTGTCTTCGGTTTCGCTACCATCCCTGTTTCCGGATTCCAACAGATCCTGTGCCGCCTGCTCTGCCGGATAACCCGCAGGTCTATGCCGTCGAGAGCGGTATTGTTGCTGGAGCTCAAAGTGGCATAGTTTTAGTGGAGATCTACACGGATGGCGTTTACCGGGGACACCGGGAGTTCACCAATAAGCCGGAGCGGGAGGTTCTGTTGCTCGAACATGACCTCCGGTGGAGCCTGCCAGATGGTCATAGAACTGTGCCTTTGAAGCTCAAGATATATTCCGCGGGGCAAGGGAAAACTGTTGTGGAAGACTTTTCGACTGTCAAAAGTTCAAAGGTCCAATTGCCAAATGGTTATGGGGTAGCTTTCAGGAGCTCCTCTCTTGGGGGACCAAAGGCTGAGGGATCCAGGCCTCAACAGCTTATATTGCATACAGTGACACCCGGAAGGGTATTGACAAGCATTAGGGTATTTCACAATTCGGCATTAGGAGGATTAGAGTTCATGTATGAGGATTCATCAACGCAACTGTTTGGCCGTAGGGGGAGCAGCGAGAGCCAGGAAAAGGTTGAGGTTTCGGACTTTCCTTTAGATACAAGAAAGGGGGAGAGCCTACTTGGATTTTGCGTGCGCTCGGGAGCTCAGGTCGAGGGGATTGAAATCTTGACGAGCTTTGGACGCCGATCGCCGATGTTCGGAAATCCACATGGTGGTGGCGCAAGGTAATTCGGCCTATCTTGAGGAGTTGGCAGCTCGGGACTAAAGACGGCGATTAGCAGCAATACATTGATACCTCCCCGGGGACGTTCCATAGCTGGCGTCTCAGGAAGCTATGCCCAGTGTGTCGACGGGTTTTCAATACTCTATAAATGAGTAACGACTTTACGACTTACCCGCTTCACAACAAGAATATTCTTCGTTTTACAAACTGCTTATGCATCTGGAATTCTTTGACTATCGTTGATAATATTCCTCCATTACTGGGAGGACCTCTCTGGCACACAAAATACATCCACTCTTTTTTTCTCTTGTCTATCAGGTTTTATTGGGAGGTTTCGTTATGTGAGGGCCATTGTATGGGGACTCTGCTAATGGCTGGCCCCCTGGGCTGTTGGTGGGGTGGTTGTAATGAAGGTAATGCCCTCAGGCGTGGGGCCTACTGGTGGTGTGACAGTTTCTGTGTGGCATATAATAAACCGGGTCGAGCATAGAGAGGGGGAGGTTTGTTTTCGTAATTCCCAAAAGCAGACGTATTTGATACTCTTCCTCTTTCTTCCTCTTTCTTCCTTCTTTCTCCTTCCTTTTCTTCCCTCTTCACCCCATCAACGGAGTTCTTATCTAGTGGTGTACAGTACAGTGCAACTAGAGATGTCAGATGGTTGCTCATTTTTGCATCGCATGCGTCCTGTAGTTTGACGATTCATCGATCAACTAGGTGTCCCATGTACAGTACAAGTATATATATATATGTATGTAAAAACGCAGAAGAAAAAAATGGGGGAATGATCATGTATACACTTGAATAGCACCTTTTCTTTTTTCTCTCTTTCTCTCTCTTTGACGCACAGATTCTCGACCATAGTTACGTGCGCAAACCCACTAAACCCACCACCAAACCATCTATTCTGCCAGATCAAAATCAAACAATAACCTCCCCAACATCTATCACAGCGGGCCTAAACGGAGCGTGCGGGTCATCATCGGTCTTGCTCGGCAGGTCCACCTGCGGAGCCGGAGAATACAAGTACCAACCCTTGAGCGCGTTCACAGCAGCTCTAATCCTAGCCTCATTCATACTCCCGCCATGCCCCTCCCCGATCTTCTCCAGGCCGGAGTAGACGCCGACAACGAAGACGGGAGCAATGGATCTCCTCCCGGTCTCACTGATGTGCCTAGCAATCGGAGGCTCGAACCCCTCCCTGGAGCAAAGGCTGGACAACTCCCTGGTGGGTTGAACGAAATTGAAAAGCTTGTCAATGTCCAACTTGCGACTAAGCACGTGTTGGCGAAAGAACTGCTTGACAGGACCAACCCCCTCGTGCAGGTAAACGCCAGCGAAGGTAGAAGTGACGAAGGAAGCAGTAGCCTCCTCCTCGGGCACGCCATTCGTCCACCTCTCCCCCTTCTCCTGCCACCACTTGTACCCGCTCGCCTCCACTTCCGGTCCCGGTGGCAGACGCTTGAATTGCAGCAGTCCAGCGTCCACGTCTGCCCTTGGCTCGAAGGCGCTCTCGACACCCCACTCGCGGCCCATCGACGCGAGGGCTTTCGCCCCCACGTATGCGCTCAAAGCTGCTCGTAGGACTTCCGCTGGTAGGCGCGGGTAGGTGCATAGTAGCCATTCCGTGGCGTAGTAGTTTATCAGCGCGCTGCCCAGCGTTGTTAGCGAGCGGTTGTTGAAGAGTGGATTCGGGTCGGCGCTCGGATGGATGAGCGCGCGCGCTAGTGTTTGCACAGGGAATTTTGGGTGCAGGCTTAGGCGGGCGTGTAGCGCTGCTAGCTTTGCAGAGGTGGTGGGGGAGCGGCAGGGCGGGAGGGTTGTTGGTGCTGTTTGAGGAGGAGGAGGCGACGACGAGGGTTGTGGGGGTTCGGGGGAGGTGGTTGCGGGGGGGTTGGGGTTTGAGGTTTCTACTGGTGCTGGTGCGGTGGTGGTGGCGGAATTGCGGTTTCTCGTGCTGGTTGAGAGTGGTCTTGGATTGGTGGTGGTGGTGGTGGTCGTCGTAGCGGTGAAGTGGGGTGTTCTCCGTATATGGTGGGGCGGGAACATCCGAGCGCTCGGATGTCGAATTGGGAGCAATTGATCCCGGAGTAAGCCTGCACAACGCATCCGCTTCATTGGCGTATGTCCGGGTGATAAAAAGCGCTTCCTTTCTCTCCTTCGGATTGGAAAGGTAGGTTGGGTGGTGAGGGAGGTGTATGCGTGCCGCTTGTGTGTGCGGTGGAAGGAAGGTTTTGAAAAGAGCCGAGAGACGAAGAAATCTTGGCAGAGCTCGAGGACCCCCCCGGTGACTCGCGCGGTCTCTCATGAGGACTACGAGTGCTCACTTGTGACATAAACCCCACGGCACCGCCGGTTTAACTTATCGCAGCTGGGACACAGAAGGCCATCGTTACGGGGTCAAGTTGGATATCATAATAATCACTATGATACCCTCGACGTCAAAACGCGCCCATAAATTGGAACGGGCAAAAACCTGGTATATGATGATCACTTACAAGTAGCAGTACAGGAATTGTCAACCAATTCACCTAATTTCCAAATGGCATACCACACCGCCATCCCACGATTAAGCTTCACAAGAATTCAAACACGCGTATCCCAAACCATGGCCTTGGCTAATGATAAGAGAAGGGATAAGAGAAATGGAGGGTAGTCAAAAGGTCATAATATATCAAACACAATGACAACCAAACCCTCACTCCTTAACAAGTCGAAAGCATCGAAAAGAACCCCTTGAGCCAAAATATTTTCCACATTTTCAAAAAAGGAGGGGAACCAAAGCCGGGTAATATAACCAGAGCCAATGCATCAATGGATATATGGAGCATTTTACCGGAAACCCAAATTAACCGGAAAAAAGAAAGATAGCAAGTATCATAACAGAAAAAAGTGTAGGAAACCCCAGATCGAGTTTTTTTTTTTCCTCAGAGCGGGCTATAAAGAAAGAGGGATTGTTAGGAGTAAAAAGCAGGTAAACTAGTAGTAACAGGAAGAAAATAATCATGTACTAAGAAAATAATGGTATGATGGACGATATTACTGGTCCCGATAGCTCGAACAGAAAATGAAGTGAAGAAAAATCCAAGAAAAAAATCGTCCATCGTGTACAAGACAACCCAAATATTGAAAAAGCTGAAGGAAAAGAAGCGGGGGAAAAAAACACAGGATAGGACACAGACGATAACAATGCAAAAATGAATAGGGGACGCCTGGATGTTAACCAACCCAATAAGTGATACGATCGGAGACCAAAAGAGCCAGTTATGACGCTCCACCTCGTCCCGATTTTCGGTTTTGTTTGAAACCCCCAAAATGAAAGTTAGAAGGAAACGCGGTTTTCCAACCCCCCCACATGCCTACGGGGTACGCTCGAAAAGAAACTCTGAAGCGAAGATACGGAATAGAGATTCTCGGCCAGAAAGGACTCTGCGGTTAATATATGAGTCTCAGCTCCCATCCATTTCTTGCCGCTGCCCCAGCCTCGCCTTCGGATTCCTGAGGGGGCGAAGCGAACGGAGATTCCTCACGAATCTCGGTAGCCTGAACCTTCATATCCTGACCTTCCGGCATCTCTCTGACAAATTCGTCATCAACCAGGATAGTCAGGCCACGGGAGTTAAGGTGAACAGTCCGAAGCACAGCTGAGGGATCAATTCCACATTTGGAGGCAATGCTTGTAGCCAGACACGATGAGGTACGGGTTTGGAGGTAAACCGCTCGGTGATACTGGTTTGCCTGTGGGGGTGACCCAATCGGCACTGGGAGGATGTATATAGACATTACTATAAATTGTGTCAGTGAAATCATTGGCCCGGGTTGGAGGGTGTGGAGGATAGAAATATCACTGACCAGGTTTGGCAAGCCTCTCTGGGGGCGGATTATACGAGGAGTCAATCCCGATTGCTTCTATCCAGCCAGAGAGCATGCCAGCATCAGGCTTGACACGAACCGGAGCATCAGATACGCCCGGATGATGCGATTGCTGCTGAGGGGGCGGCAGAGGCTGAAATTCCCTCTCCCAATCACATCTTTCCAGCGAGTTAAAAGCATCACCACGCTGGCTGGACTGTGACGCCGAGCTCGGCGTTGGCGAGACAAACGAGGATGCGGTGGTGTTCGTCGTAGCCACGCTTGATCTTCTTCTGGCCCACACATCTTCCGAGATTTCTGGCACCTCCCCAGGCAGATGAACCGGGTGCAAATCGGGATCGTCGATCTCGCTTCCTCGAAGATATAACACACTGACGGCCCGTGTGCTAGTGAACATGTCCTGCATACTGGCCAGCTTGGCATTGGTATCCTCTTCATGAGCCCTTACTCCACCAACAGAACTCGCAGAAGACATTGACCACGTCCGCTTATGCTTTAGTGCCTTTCCGGGCTTTCCCGAATCCTCATCCTTCTTGCCTTTCTTGCCTAACGCTTTCATGCCCGTCCCCTCAACCTGATTTGCTTGCTGCTTAAGTTTCTCAATAGTCTTCTTAACATGTAGAATGTCATTGGCCAACTTCCTTTCCGCTCCATGGTCCCGGAAAAGCTTAACCTTACAGAAGCAGATCTCTGGCTGTTCGGGCGGGGATTGTGGTGAACCCGACGACAAAACCTCGGTCTTGGCACACAATCTCACAGGAATGCCCTTCACACCTTTCGAATGGCTAAAGTCCGTAGAAAGGAAGTTGAACCGTACCGATACAGAGGCCTCGGGAGAACCAGAAGGGGGAGGAGACCATATAACCGCGAAACTGTCGAACGATGCTGTCTCAATGTCGACCCTCCCTTTCTTCTTGTCATCCTCGGGCTGTGAAGACGCTTCAACATACTCAACGGCTTGCAGTTTTCCGCCACGCTGGTGAGCTTCATTGGTTCCTCGACCTTCCTTCCATAGTTGCCAACACGACGCCGGTCTCGAGCGTTGTGTTTCATCATGAAAAGATATTCGAACATAGGTACGATACCTCATGGGCCCAGTGTCAAGGGGCGGAGTGGTATCCAAGATTGATATTGCATATGCTTGCCCCTTGTTAAGATATGTGACCGGAATCTCATCGGGGTGCTTTATCATCGCTGTGGGTGCGTTCAAAATAACATTGAAGCGGAATCTATGATAGATTGTGGCGTTAGCAAACAAACACCAAACATTGTTCTCACAATCCCACTAGTGATAGATTGCTCTCAGCCTATCGTAAACCGAGAAATGGCAATGCAACGGGTAACGGCGAAGAAGTATAATGTCCCGATGAGCGATGCCGGTGAGAGCAAGACAAACCTTTCGGATGACGCAATTGGACCAAGCTCATGGTCGTATTGCTTCCCCTCCAGCACCAGTAGCTGGGTAGGCCCCATCACAGGTCCTTCCAAGGGCCCAGGCTCCGGCAAGATCTCATCCCCGCCATCCCCCAAGTCCATGGGGCTACCCGGCCCTGGTGATGTCCTAGCATACTGTGTAGGGTCCAGAAAATGGGGCTGCAAAGGCTGGCTGAAAGGATGGTAGTTATGGAATTGATGCGGCTGAATGGCTTGCGGATCGTAGTCTGGAAGACCGACGCCGCTGGTGGTTGGTGGAGCCATCGCCGTGGTATTCGGCAACGATAGCGGTGTCCCTGCATTGATCCCTATATTCGGTGTTTGGAGGTCATTATGGGTTGGGTTGTACACGGTGTTTGAGGCGCCCGGAGTTGGTGTGAAAAGACCAGGAGGCTGGTTCGCGAATGCTGCAAAGGCAGCGGAGGTTGGGTCCAGCAGCGATGGGGTGAAGCGAAACGGCTCTGAGGGTGCTTTCGGTGTCGGTTCGAGATCTTCATGATCATGTCCGAATCTGTTAACCCAGACAGGAAGGATTGTCAGCGGAGTGACCCAAAAGCTTCATCCCCGTACCCCTTGGAAGATTGCGGGGTGATTTTTTCCCTCCAAAAAGACCAATTGGTAAAGAGGATAGGAAAAAGAACTTCCCCTCACCCCCCGGTGAAGTGTAGAGAAGGGGAGAAACAAGAACAACTCGCGCTTCAGGGATGTGACGTGGGACTTGCCTCGGCTGATTTAGGGTGGAATCATGTAGCCCGCCTGCTGTCTGCAAATGCGACTCGCTTGGCCCGCTCGTCGATCCCGCGCGCACGCCAGGGAATGATTGTCGAAAACGTTCGAAAAGCTCATCCGGAGGTTTTTGCGATGACTGCCTGCGAACATCAAAACAACAAGCAAAGTAGAAATCCCACGGTCAGCCTCGAAAACTTCCATAAAACACTGAACACCAACAGACTAATCCACCAGACAATACAATGACAGATCCCTCCGTGATCTCTTACTCTCTTCTCATTTCTTCACCCCTTTCTTCCTTCCCCATTGCGCATCCATTCCACCCCTCACCAGAGCACGGATACCGCAATGGTACTGGTATCCCGCGAACCACAGAATGAAGGGTGATAAGGAGACTTGGAACAGGAGATAAACAGACTAGACATTGGGATCGTCAGGGCACGAACCTGTTGCGAAACATAGTTGATCAACAAGCAGAATCAGGGAAAAAAACAATAATAAGGATATCACGGAGGTGGTAGTATTCGTCAAATCGAGTATTTCAAGGTGGGGTAGGGAAGTCGCAACTTGCTTCCCTGGTGCAGAGTTAAGGGAAGCAGCGAAGTGGCATGGGGTGGGGGGGGGGAAATAGAGAGCGGGTGATATTTATTTTTTCCTCCCTCTTTCCTTATTCTTCCCAAATGGAGCTTTGCGAGATTTGCATGCACCCAAGAATGGCAAAATAGATGGATGGGATACTTGAGTACAATACAGCGGTGTGGCGCGTCGAGGGAGAAAAGTCAACATCCCTTCCTCTCTCTTTCATTCACTCTTTCACTCTTTCACTCTTTCACTCTTTCTCTTTCTCTCTGTCTCTCTCTCTCTCTCCTTCTCCCTGCTCCCCGGGGGCAGACACAAGTAGCCCCTAAGGCGTATTTAAGTGGGTGAAAGAATTCCGGTAGGGGAAGTCGGTCGGGATGAGGATAGTACCGGCAATGGCCATTTGGGTCTCCTGTTTCTGTAACCATCTAGCTGCTTCTGCTATGCGCCAGGAGCTTCTCTCCTTCTCTTATTTCTGAGGCAACGAGGGGGGAAGGAAGCTGACTGGTCGCATCATACACGGGGCCAGCCGTAGAGTCCAATCATAAACAACACTTTGAGGGTTACAAGATGGGGAGGGCAAAGAGGAAAAGAGAGGTAGAGATCGTGACACAAGTGGGCGTGCGGAGGCTGATGATTATGATGATTATGATGATTACCGTGCCCCTCTGATGATGACCTTGTGATGAAGAAAGTGAAAGGCTTCGCCGATTTGCTAATCTATTGCCTCCCCTTCCAGCCACCGACCCGGACACCGGTAACAATAGACACGCAATACAATACCCAAATAGAGTTGAGATGTGTGAAATCATTGTAGTCCTCCTCACTCACTCACCCACAAGTACGGTAACGTACTCAACTCCTTACTCTTCGCCTCCACGGTCCAAATACCGTTCTCCACAGTTTTGATATGGTACACACTGCGCATCCACCCCACCAACAACAACACATAAAAAGTATCATAGATAGATAATTATCCTACCCTAACCCGCAACACACCGGCACTCTAGGTAGAACCGCAGCAGGCAAAACGGCAAACGGCGAGTCAGGGGCAGATTTTCCAGGTAAACGCCACTCACAACTTTCTCTCGGCATGACGACGATGACGATGATGATGGATATTCGAGGGGCAGAAAACTTTTTTGTGTTGGTCGTGACCAAAAAGAGTTATGCATGTTGACCTCACAAGTTTTTTTTTTCTTTTTTTCTTCTTTCTTTGCCGATCCCTTAATCAACCCTTTTTTCGATACCTTTCTATCTTTTTTATTTTTATTTTTATTTTTAACCCCGATCCTTTGTGGCGTTGGCCATTTTGTGTTGTCGTCGTTTTTTTCACTCTTTCTCCGTCAACCCCCATGGCTGACGGGCCGGGTTTGAAGTGTAATTATGGGTTGGGAGATTGCGAGACCTGTCAACAACACAACATCTGTAGGTGATGGAGTACCTATACTATAGTCCATCGGCCCCGAAGTAATAATAGCGCATTTTGTGTTGGAATATCATAACTATATCAATGATAAGATATACGGTACCATACCAGAGAAAAAGTGCAAGAAATGAGTGATATTCTGTGACTGGCATATAGATCATCATTGTCATGATATGAATGGCGGGTGTTTGGACCCGAGAATTTGGAAGGGTACCGGTATTTACCGTTGAACGCGTGTCTGTGGGTCGGGATCACCAGCGTACGTCGGAGGCTCTATAGTGACGGTAGTCTATATCTTTCCACAACTCGATTTGACAGGAGGAGTCAGTACTGTACTCGTACAAAAAAAACAATATATAATTGTATGGCTTGAAGCTGTTATCGGCCCGGGCACAACTTCCAGTATCATACCATCCCTCGGAGACCTTTAGTCCAAGAAACAATCGCTCGTCCCGGACTCGGTTCGGTTCCCTCCAGCCAGATTACGAGTACCGTCCACTTGGTACTGTACAGTACAGTACCATTTTTTTGCACATTCGCGCATCCAGGATGCATAAATTACCTATAGCGATAACCATGATAAACCCCTCAAACCCGGACCTTTAGACTGAACAACAGCACAGCACGACATCAAAAGTGAAGAGGGAAAAGGAAGAAGAAGAAAAATTCCCCCATCCAGCGTGCTCTTCCGCCAGTGGAATAAAATATAAATTTATTTATAATTATAAAAGTCAATTGGCCAAAGTGGTAGACTACGGTAGCTGTGGCAACGATTGGGGGTGTGTATGATAATAATTTTTTTTACCGATCAAACCCCCCCCCCCCCAAACACCGATCCTCGTGCCGTTGAGGGTTCCGTGCGTGCGCGGACTTGCCACAATCTTCTAGTACGAGTACAGTACTGTAAAAACGGGTGTTTTGGTGTGTTGATTATGGACAACTTGGGCTTGTGATAATGGTTCTGGAATGTCTTCTATCGGTGTGACTACTCGTAGACTAGACTTACTGGAAGATGATAATGCGATATGTACTCGAGTAACTTGTGGGAGATATCTGGCGCCGGGACAAGGGACCGGTTTGTTGCTGTGGGGGTTTCTCTTTCTCTTCTGTAGATATAGACTATCTATTTACTGTAGTCTACTGGTAACTATCATAACTTTTGTGTGGCGGCGGCGGTTCGGGCAAGAAGCGTGGTTCAGAGCACGGTTGCACTCGGGGTTTTTTTACTCGTTGGTCTTTGCCAAGTATGAAGTGTGCAACCAAGCCGTCGCCAGTGTTACGTGTTACAGTGGATTTGAGGTGACTTGCCGTCCTCCTCCGGAGGGTAAAGGGAGCATCCGATTCTACCTTAGTATTTACCTTACCGTTCGCCGCTGCTCGAGGCCTCGTGTACTTGTAGTCTACGAGTACAGCACTGCCTACTACGTCACCGCGTGTGGGAATCAATGGGTTAATGAATCGATGAGTGTATGAGAGTGTGAATGTGTGGATGCGTGAATGTGCACATGAGCGGGCGAAAGAAAAATAAAATCTCCCTTTTGTAATGAATAATGGTGTACTGTACAGTACTGTACCCGAGTAAACGGGGCCAGTTCTAATTGTTTTGAACTACTCGTACGGGCTGAACAAGGTTGAGTCACCTCGAATTCCGCATTACCGCAGATGTAACGGATCGTGTTCTTTGCTTTGGCAATAATGATGGAGCTGGGAAGTGTGATTATGGTGAGAGAGCGGGCTTTCCTATTGGGGTTTGGACTACTCGTAACTTGATTCTGATTGGGCCGGGATCTGTCTGCTCAGTTTACTGTGGACCACGATGTAGCTGACAGCCAGACAGGCGGGATATCAATAATGTGCCTTGGATGCCGCCAGAGCGCCCAATCGCCTCCCCCTCAAGAGCGGCAATGGCCGGTGCTCGTCATTGAACGACGTTTGCAAACACGACCACTATTGCATGACATCGCGAGGTGGATAGTGCCGTATTTGCGAGGGTAGCATAGCATTGGAGGGAAGGTATCACACCGTCTTGATTATGAGAACCCCCCCCGGCACAGCGCCATGCCCGTCCAGCCAGTACAGTACAGGTACACAAACCACACAAAACCTCGCAGGAAATATACCGTCACCTTACACATCGACTCACTCACCCACTTGTCCCACGAAATCGCAGACACCCCAACCACGCCGATCGGAGCATGCAGCAGCAACGTAATGTGCGGCAACGCAACCTAACGCAACCGAGTGAGCGAGCAGCCCGCGATAAGTGCTCGCCTCGAAGCGTTTTTGGGGGGGACTGCTATTGCGTGCCACCAAAATCGGGCTCTTTTGCTTGGATATGGGTGATATGCAATGGTAGGTCTTTTTTTTTGAAAACGCTGCGAAAGCGCGAGCAAAACTGCCGCACAAAGCACCCTACTTGAGTACTTGTATCATACCCCGGGACATTGGAGGGTCCCAAGGGCCCAAGTCTAAGGCACCGTACTCGAGTTAGGTCTATCATTGATCATGGCATACCGGTATGATAGGGTAGGGCTAGGGAAGGAAAAAAAAAAAAGAAAGAAAAAAGGGCTGGGACCGCCAATCTTTCTCGATGCACGATAATGATCCCAGACCCTCCAGTGACGTCATGATAGGTGGGGTAGGGTTGAGGGTTTCACTTCCGGGACTAGGCTCCCGAGAGGTTGGAGGCCGGGAGGAGTGATGACGTGATGTAGTGGATGCATATGGATGGGAAGGAAGGGGAGGCTGAAGGACATGCATGTCTGTTGATTTTTCTGATTTTTGCCTTCGGTTTTGGTTCGGGCTGCCAAATATATTGTGGAGTAGACTGTTGATGTGTGCCTACTCGAGTACCGTATTAACTCGTCAAATTGAGTATCTCCGTACAGGGATAGTATCTCCGGTAGCGGTCTTGGCTGGCCCTTTCATGAGGTGATCATTCATGGGTTGAGAACGTCTTATGGTAGCTTTACTAGAACAGTAGAACAAAAGAAATGTCTAACTAAGAACAGGTCTCTCCATCCGCCAGAAATTCAATATCCTCTTGATTATCATGACCTTCTTCAACATTGGTAAAAGGATCCTGGGTGTCAACCTCCCGCCAGTCCCCTATTTCCAACCCAGTAAAACCTTTAATATCAAGCTCACTATTACATGAGCCATCTGGTGGAAGTGATAAATCCACTTTGTGGAATGTTTGTGAAATAATTTCAGACTTTTCTGTATGAAATTTGTAAAAAGCATCCCCCTCACACTAAGTAGTAAGAATTCTTTGTTGTCATATACTCCATTTTTCTATCTCCTCTACCTCTTCACAGTCAAGAATATCTTGATCGATAAGATCTCTTATAATTTCTTTTAGCGGTTTGTTAATAGAAACATCAAGAGGTTGAACCAAACTGGTACAACCTCCAGGGATAAGAGATGGGAGTATCTGGTTCTCATAAAGAATAGCGAGCATAGTAGGTATTTTGTGAGAGCTCATTAAGTCGAGAGCAAAGAGGCTAGGGTGGCCTTGAAGAGCAGGAGCAAGGTGGTCCATAATATAGTGTAAAAAAAGCTCTTTGTTCATGTTGGTTCAGGGATTAAATTCTACTAAAACCTTAGGATAATAGTGATCGAACTCATCGCCGAGCCTACTCACAGCCCCATGAACGATTATCTTAGGTGGGATTTGAGAAACTCTGTTGGCAAAAACACAAAGAACAAGGTGGGCTTGCCGTTTATCCCAGCCTGAGCGAGTTGATTTTGCCCATACTGTTATGGAACCCATGGGTTCATATGTTCAGCCTTCTGG